TTCTCTTCCAAATCCCATTTACAAAAGTGAAGAGTAGCAAATGCGATCTATTGAGCACTTATGCGCACAGTTGTACAGGTTGTGTATTGCACAAGGGTACCATCCCATCTAAGGGGGTGTGGTTGACATTGTAGACATCATTATTTGCATATTTATTAAGAAAATTTTCCAGCAGATGGCAGTAAAATCTTGCTCGAACAAAATCAGAATATTACAACAATTTCTGACAAATGGAAGTAAAGTGTCTTAAGAACTGTACACCTTCTTCTAGTCACATAAAGATCTCACAGACGCCCAGTGGCACTGCTTTCTACACGCCAGGGCCTACGCTCACTAACCCTTGTTTAATACTTAGGGGCCTGAGAAATCAGTGCTATTAGTAACTTTCCTAAGGCCACTGAGTCAGGGTGCAGTAGTTTCAAGAGTGTAATGTGGGTCTCTAACTCTAGAGCCTGTCCTCTTCTGCGCTGAGCAATGGTATTTCAGAAAACTATGGCCTGGGGATTTAAAGAAACTTGACCAGAGAGCCTTGCTGCCCTGCAGCTCACCCAGACTGTCGCCTGTTCTGCTGTGTGCTGACCACAGTGCTAGATGCCACTGGGGCTGAAGAGAGCAGGGCATGTAACATTCATCCAAGAAAATGGTCATACTTCAGTTAGTAAAGAAAAAATAGGAGCATGATGACATGCTTTTTGGCATTTTAATTACATTTGTATGATTTAAACTATACATGCTACTGAAATTAAAAAACCAGAGAACCCAATATAGATTACAATGTTTTTCACAGATTTGGAATTCTTTATTTGAAAAATATTTTTAATAAACATCGTAATGCCTAAATTTTATATTTTAGTATAAATTTTAGCAAGACTGCATTACCACTATACTAAAGACTGGATTAATTCTATGTACGTGGGAAAGGTTTTTTAAAATGCATATCACAAAATGCATAAATATCTTTATCAAATCTTCCCTTGAAAAATGACATATTATTAGTATAATATTCTTGATCCAATGTTGTAAAACTGATAAGCCATAAATAGCACTCAGGTTAAAATCTCTTAAACAAATACTAGTCAATCATTAATAAAAGGCCATTTATAAATATTTTATATTGATCCTAAATTTATCATTGTGGAGACCTTATACCTAAACCCACTAAAACAAACAAAAAAGTGAAAACTCAGGCCAGCCAAGTGGCGTGTTGGTTAAGAGCTGGCTTGGGACGCCAGCTCTGAGCAGCAGGGACCCGGTACAGATCCCACATGCAGGCCAATGACGCTGCGCCCTCTACAGCTAAGATGGTGAACAACAGCTCCACTTGGAGCTGGGCTGCTGTGAGTGGCCGGCGACAGCGTAGGCTACAGTGGAGCTCCC